CATGTGAATCCAAACAACTATTGAAGAGGGTTGTCTGGAAGCCTAGGTGAAACGTTTGAACTTGACCGTCATATATACTGCTTTACATATTGTTACTAATCCACATTTTTAATATGAATGTAGGACAAAGTTGATATATTATTAGGCATTTGTGAGTTTTGGTATATTGCCAAGTGAATAAACAGACACGTTATAACATGCATGAGTAGCTAGATTGAAAACATTATGCGTCGATGTATATGATGATATGTAAGCATGCATGCATGGATCATGATGTTCGTGTAAGCATGCATGTATGATGATGATGGTGATGACAACGACTGTGATGATGATATGGATATATCATAGGATGGGGATTCTCTCTCTCTCTTTTTCCCTTCCCTCCTCTCACAATTTTTTTTTTCTTTCTCTCTCTACAAAGATGAAATTTTGAGCATTCAAACAGAACGGGAAGGAAAGTAAAAGAAAAAAAAGAGGGAAAGAATCCTTGTCCTATATTATATGCATGGAAACAGAAGCCTAAGAACAAAGTCTACAAGACTAGAACCTCTTCTGTCATTCAGGATAAATAGAAGGTAGGGCTAGCTAACTAATTCCGTGCGTGCTCAGGACCCAACAAAGGAGCTACAACTCTATGATCTCTACATTTCATCACTGCCCCAGCTGATGAAGTCATGTACAGGTAGATGTTTCCAGATATTAACTACTGCATATACATGCATTATGAGAGAGAGAGAGAGAGAGAGAGAGAGAGAGAGAGAGAATGGGTTTTCTGTCTTCGAATTTATCTGTGGGTCAAAATAGACATAATGGATGCTGGTTAATTAGCTAAACTGACTGACTGGGGGTGAATTATCCAAAGAAGGGGGAGGCATCCAAAGCCATATGATGCCATAAGTAGATAGTAAAGGAGGTGAACTGTCATAAGCGTTAACAGTCAGTAAGGCTCCACTTGAACATGACGTACCACTCTCATAATTTTGCAAATTCACTAACCCAATATATGGTAAATAAAGGTTGGTTTTCAGTTTTTACCCCTCTCTTTTCCATGATTTCGTTAAAAAGTTCAAAAAGAAAAAAAGGGTTACTGTATAATTTAATTGGACCCCTCAGTCTCTCATTGCTTGTTCAAATTGAATCCCTGTGAATATCTGATTCAGTAGTACTAACTTATCAGTAACGTGAAAAATATCAGAGGGTACAGTTAAGAAAAGGCCAAAGGGAATTGGGGTATAGCTGGGTTTTTATATTTTTTTTTGGTACAATATTAATGGGAGGTGTATGATATATCAGTGCATCTGTGTGTGTACGAAGTCAAGTAACTGAGAGTCTCAGAGGTGTAAGAAGAGACAAGGACGGGGTTGATTTGTTTGAGATTTTCATTCATTGATTGGGGAAGGAAGAGACAGCTTTGTGTACATTGAGGAATTGCCTCTGTACCTTATACTTTAGGTTTATTTTTTATTTAAAAAAAAAATCCTTACTTATCACTTATATTCCCATGCATATATAACTACCATTTAACTTTAATTAGTCCGGATTTTAGAATGGTCCAAGATTTATCTCATACTTTGTAATTCTTAACCCTTAAATCATTGATCAAAATGCAATCAGCAAAAATCTGACGACCAAAAGCGCTTGAGAATAAGATATCCCGAATTCAAAGTTGAATCCCAATTTTTTCCCTCTTTATCTGTCTGAGAAGATGAGAAAGGGGAACAACTGATCAATTGAGTGATTTTGTAGCAGAAGTCCACGTGCGTTGTGTTGCTTGCGAAGAAACGAAACAGAGCCAACGGTTCATGGTCCTTTTGGACACCCGTACGTACCCATAAAAGCCTGTCGTTGCTAGACAGCCATGCATGTGTGTATGTGTATGTAGCCATCCCAAGGAAAATTGTGCTTAATTCATTTAGCTTAATTTGGTTAAGCTGTTTATTGTTATATGTATTTTTGTCCCATGATAAGTTACTTGAGACAAGGGAGAGAAAAATTAACCGATAACATGTGAGTTATTCTTGGAAAACAAATCCTACGTTGCATAATTTTTTACTGGGAAAATAACTCAAGGGGCATTTGACCATTTGAATTAGCGCTGGACACGGGCCGGGTCATACCCAAATTTGGAGGAACCAGACCTACCTGTTTTAAAATGTAATAGGTCGGGCCGGGCCAGGTAGAGAGATTTTACATTTGAGAACCGGACCTAACCCGGCCTGTTTGAAACGGGTCGGTTTGGGACGAGTCCACAGGTCCACAGGTCTAATTACTTTTTTTTTTTCGTTTTTTTTTTTTTTTGGGTCTGGCATTGGGATCCTTTTTTATTACCAAAAACACACATATTTACATTTACAAGAGAGAGGCCCACATACAATACAAACACAACAACAAAAGTATGTACTTGACAACAAAACCAAGCCCAACAGAAAAAACCCTAACAGCTCGCATCCTCCACTGCTGCTGCCATCAGAAGGACCACCAAACTCGAACTAGTGGCCAGAAATCAAGCCAAATCGAGCCCCCAAAGTGGATAAAAAGAAGACTTCAACAAGTCTAGCAAGATCCTTTACAACATGATTTTCCAAAGCTAAACTAAAATAAAAACCAAAACCAATTAAATCCACAAAATTGAGAAATTATATCCCTAAATTCAGTAACCTAGAAATTTCAAAAATCTTAATTCAAAAGTCCTAAATCCATGAACTCAGAAACCCAGATAATAACCATAATTTAGAAATTACCTTAATTTGAGAGAAGATGACGTGATATTTCAAATCGCAGGATGATGGTGGTGTTTTCGATGACGGTGATGGGTGGTCACGTTTGTGAGGAGAGTCAGGAGACGATGGCGATGGTGGTGTTCACAAGAGGACTTAACTCGAGTGGGAGAGGGGACTGAGAATCGAGAGGGAGGACTCTGGGAGAGAGAGATCGAGAGGGAAGGAGAGGGGATTGAGAATCGAGAGGGAGGACTATGGGAGAGAGAGATCGGGAGGGAAGAATCTGGGAGAGAGATCGAGAGGGAGGACTCGGGACAGTCTTCGAGAAAGATGCGATGTGTGAGAGATTTGAGTGTGTGTGTGTGTGATACGGTTAGGGCCGAGGCCCCATGACTTTAGAAAATTGGATCCGGCCCGCCCCTTTGTTTACTTGGACCCACCCCGCTCCGCCTCGTTTTGTATATAAAATAATATGGATCCGTCCCGAACCGCTAATACCCGTCCCTACCTGCGGACCCAGGGCCCGTTTGCCCACCCCTAATTTGAATTGTAAAATATCTCTCGTATAAACATGAGATGAACAATATTTTAGTCACACCTAACATAAACATCATATGATTCTATCGGGTGAGTGTTGTCTTAGTGAGTTAGTCCTCGTTGCGAACGGAACCTAATTGTATGTTGCATCACTTTTCTACGATGGGAGTGTCTCACTAGGTCACCAATAACTAAGAAAACTTCTCGCACGGTCCTACCTTGTGTGAACATTGTTCTAATCAAGCAGTCGTATGACGAAAAGCCGGTGGTTTAAAAATTCATATGTTCATTTGATTTTTCTGGTATAACCTGCAGGGAAATGGGATGTTTATCCAAAAGTCTAATCAATGTTTAACGTGCTTATTGATGCGACACCTTCTTAAAGTTTGATAAATGGTGAGCAAGGACCATCATATTGGTTTTTCAAATGCAGTCATGAGACTCATGACTCTTGGACTGTCCTGAAGAACCCCAACAGTGATCATCTTCTGTGGACCAACTCCGCCAAGAAATTGCTTCACTCAATTGAAGAAGCTTCTGCCTGCACTCTGCAGTAAATAGTTAACACAAAATAGTGCTTCATTATATTTATCTATGTATACGAAATCAAATGCATGCACAGATACAAATTGGTGCAAATCCTTGTGGAAAAAAAACTCATTTGTTGCTGTTATTTGTATGATCATCGTGGGTTGCGTAATACCTCACTTTTAATGATTGCTGTGAAAAGCATACAACCACTTTCTAAACGGCAGATCAGGCTTTGTTTGTTGGGGATGCGGATGCCCAGTCCAATCCTATCCAACCCCTAACCATATCCCATGTTTTACATCCCTCGTCTCATAATAGTAAAGTGATGAGCGAAACAGAGAAAAATAAGCATAAATTTTGTTGCATGAGAGTTCTCTTACACAATAGAAGATGAAGCTTAATATAACTATCCACGTTGATACAGTGAACTATTTTCATGCAACGATGACGCCACAAAATTAATTACTATATAAAATAGTTAAAACGTAACATAACAGTGTGTAATTGACTTCAAAATTGTTACAATAATTCCGGTTGGATGTCTCTCTAGATTTTCATCTCGACTAATGTTAATACTGTGACCGACCCTCTCATCTAGTCGTCTGTCATTAGGTTATTACTGAGGCCCGAGGGGAGGGGATAGAGAGCATCAAAATTCACAAACACTAAACCCTGCTTGTTATTATTGCTCAAAGTTTCTTAAAACCAGCAACCTCGATTGGTCATCTCAGAGAATAAAGGCTCACAACTTTGGCGTTAGATAATATTGTAAGTGACTCAGAAAGTCGAAGAGAGAGAGGGATGGTTAATTAGCTATCTGATTAATCTGATCTAACGTAATGTAACCCAAAGAGGTTCTTGAGCTGCTTGCTTTTGTGGACAAATCTGCTGCAATCAGCCCAATCCTTCTGGCTCACTTCGCCAGACGAACGGCCCATTAGATAGACATCATTGGATCTTATGAATTATGGGAACTTTGGAGCTTGTGTGAACCTGCTACAATACAATTTTTTGAACAAAAACGACTGGTACTCTACTTTTTACCGGTACTCTACTTTTTACCATTTGTACAATCCTTTGATTTGCAAATTGCTAGAAGAAAAGCAAGTTAGAAAAAAGTGTACAGAAATCATTTCTCAATCGATTATTCCGGTCAGAGTTCCACATCACGAAAACCTACGTTAAGAACCCACTTCTTACTCTGATTTCAAGTACGTAAACATGTATTTACTATTTTGCATACGAAAACAGCTTAATGTTTGATAAGGAGCATATACAAAACCAAATACCATTCTACAATCGATTTGTAAATATGACACAATCTCAACATTCAATTCCATATACAAAAATTTCTTAAGTTACAAGCAAGTTGGGATATTAGACCCAGCTGCCCTCCGCGGATCCCAACCGCATCTCAATCAGCCGGGCGTTAAACTCGCCGTCGCTGACCTTCAGCATCTCCCGCAGCGGCAGCGAAAAGCCGTGCTCCACCAGCAACCGGTGCCTCGGCTTAATCTTCCCTTCCAAACTAAACGAAAAGTACTGCGGAAACCTCTTCAGTTCCCCCACGTCCCTCTTCATCTCCTCCAGAAAAAAGTCAACTTTCGGCTTGTAATTGTTGTTAATGCTGAAAGTCAACAGCCCCGGCGACCTTATCACCATGTTCACCACCTCCTCGTAGCTCAGCCCCAAGCTCTGCAAATACTCAATCTTGGGCAAAAGGGTAAATTGCACGCTCGAAACCAGCAGCACTGTCGTCTGGCACGTGATGGAGCTCCGCCCCGAAAACCCCAATTCGGTCAGGAACTTCAATGCGGGTCGCAATTGGTAGTCCAAGTGGGAGACTAGGAGCCTCGGGCACCGGATTATGGACTTCCGGATATCCGGAAAGGGGATTCGGACCTCGGTGAGGAGGAAATCGAAGATTGGATAGAGGGCAGTGTGCGGGTCCACGGTGAGGAGCTGTGGGTACATGTCGAGGATCCGACCCTGGGCGGAGCGCTCGATGCCCATGGAGGAGAGGCATCCCTCAACGGACTTGAGGGAGGAGAGGGGGCAGGAGCGGAAATCTGGGTTTTGGTGGAGGGCCTTTTGGGAATCGACGTTGAGGTGGGTTTCTAAGTAGAGGACCTTTTCGCGGAAGAGGAGGCCGGGGTCGGCGGAGGTGCTTGGGTGGTGGGAAAGTGAGGGATAATTTGGCGAATTGAGAGTCGGCCTGAGGGAGTTGGAGATTGATTTGGGGATAGGGTTAGGGTTCATGGAGGGTTTTGGAGTTGGACTGAGAGAAGCTTGGGGAAGGAAGGTTTGAGGTTGGAGATGGCGAATCATGGTGGCGCACGGGGGCTGGTTGGTATGTGTCAATGTGTGTACGAGGAACTGTGAAGGTGGACATCCCTTTATCCCAAATCAAAACGACCTGTCGTTGGCTCCTCCCTGAACTGCACTCATAGTCCCCTTTGTTTTATATGATTTCACCTTCGAATTGTAACCTCTTTTTTTTTTTTTTGGTTGCATTAATTTCATGCATGTAGTTTATTAAAGTTGAGCTTAATTTTTTTTTATAAAGCGACGTTACAAGTTTAATTTATATTAGGGAGAGAAAGACTGTTTAATCTGACAAACAGTTGGTTAAAAAAATGTCTCAATCACCGGTATAGTACTACAGTTCATCACTTGCAAGTTGAGCTTAATCTTATTTTAGGAGAAAACAAGACAATAATAAAAGAAGTAAAAAAAAAAATGCTTATTATTTCAAGAATAGTGCTAAGCACATCAAAATTTGTACTTTAACGCAAATAGAAATTTGATTAATAATTGTAATAAAAATTTATATAGTATAGACTATGCACATGAGCTGAGAGAAATGTTACAAGATCTGTGGATCTGATCGTACCATTTATCGAGTCCCAAAAGTAGACCTGACAATTTCTTACATAACCTATTAATATGACATGTAAACGATACGAAAATAACAGGTTTCAGATTGACACGATAACTAATCAAGTCACACGATAAGAACACGTTAATAACGGGTCCTTAACATGTTTACACGAGAGTGACAAACGGGAAACCTGTTTCAACACGTTGAGAAAAAAATTGTTACATTCCACATCGCCCAGGGGAGTGGATCTTGTAAACCTTATATATATATTCTCATCTTTACCTAGCACGAGACCTTTTGGAAGCTCACTGGCTTCGTGTTCCATCGGAACTCCGAAGTTAAGCGAGTTCACGCGAGAGCAATGCCAGGATGGGTGACCCAATAGGAACTCGTGTGAGTTCCTAGAAACAAAATCGTGAAGGCGTGGTCGGGGCCCAAAGCGGGCCCAAAGCGGACAAAACCTGCTACACAGAGCGACCTCGGGGATGTTATGGGAGCTTGGCTATAGGAGCTGACAAAAAATTATAAATTTACTTTTAACTATATAAAAAACTTTACTATAAAGGTACCGTCAGTGAGGTGTACTAATTAAAATATGTAAGTATGTGCTTTAAACTTCTATATTAGTTAATTGAAATAGTATTATCGTTTCATAACCCACTACAATATTATACTATAGGCAATGAGTGAGATAAAAAATGTAGACACACAAAAAAACAGCTAAAAGTCAGGTATTTGAAAAAAACAATGCCACATTAATGAACAACCCCGTACCTTGGAAAGTCGAAGAAATATGTAAGTGGCCGTCCACCGTAATGAGGTGTCACCATAGGCTGGGTAACAGTAATGACACGAACATGAAATGCTAAAGTTTCACGTGAAAGAAGCTAACATAGAAACTAATTAGTTAAACAGTGGAATAGTATGTGCGCTGAATCGTGGTGAGTAGACCCACTACATTATTAACCATAGCGTAATTTAGACAGTAGACTACAAACGAAGCAATAGTCAAAGTAAACTAAAGTACCACTTATTACATAACGTTTCCGATACGTCGTACATCTAAACAGAAATTGAAATGCAACAGAACTGCCGGACGGAGGTGCGCCGAGTAAACGCCTCGAAATTTCAGCCAAAAGTGAACTCCTCGAAATGGTTGTCGGACGTCCATTTCAAAAATGTGACTGAGGCCTTAAGCAAGTTGTAAGTTTCCTTTAAGTTCAAAACTCCTTAACTCGGTCTGAATATGATAACTCAGATCACTAAGTTCGAACCTCACGAGTTTAACGTTAAAAACTCGTGCTCATTCCGGGTAAGAACATGGTTGAACGTGGATAAGGAGTACAATGGAGTAGTTTTATGGGTTCGATATGTGAGGTTTAGGGTTCGTTCAAGGGGGTTGCATAGAGGGAGAGTATACAGGAGAGATTGTGAAAGAAGTAAGAGAGTCCTGGCTCTTTTTCTGATTGTGGACAAAATGAGGGAATGGATGCAAGGTACAGCACGAGATGGCCTAAATAGAAGGCTATGGATAAGGTTTTAGATTTTGTACAGAAAGGAAATCGAAAATCTATTTGGAATAGTGTTTTCACAAGATAAAATCTACGCAGTCTCGTAATAAAGTGCACAATTTATTTACGAGGACGATAAAATAAATAAGGAGGAAGTAACGACGGCCTTCGTTCGCCACTAAGGGCGAAAACCGTCAATTTCACATACTTATGGGGAGAAATGTACATAGAAAAATTAGGAATGGGTCGTCACATTAAAAAAATATAATAATTAATTTACAAGTTCAAAAAATATGAAAAAGCTCGAGTTTTAACATCTATGCTTTGAGGATCAGAACATCATGGTTTTGTGTTTTTAAAAGATACAATGGTGATAATATTTTTGGGTTCAATGTACCAATGTCATTTATCTTGGTAATTGATGAAAATTGAAGGGTTTTATTGTAAAAAACATGCAAGGTTTAGTTTTCCATTTTCTCATTTTGACTGATGTTATTTTCAAATTTTAAATAAGTGCATTTACGTGCCAATGTGATATACATATACAAATTTTATTATGTTTTCAATTTCTGGGGTCAAATTAGTTTTTCATTTTAAATTATTTTTAATAAAATATACTTTTCTTATGGGAAGTGGGTAGGCATTACCGCCTATTAACGGGTCGGGTCATATTACCCGTTTACTTTAACTGGTGTTACACGACATGACCCGTGAAGATATCGAGTATGTCACGAAAACGACACGAACACGGGAAACATGACACGAATGCCAGGCTTACCCAAAAAAGTTTTTTTTTAATTTTTATTTTATTTTTATGGATTATTAAATATATCAGAAAAAACATATAACTTTTTAGAAGCGATTTTTAGGTGTGGAAAATTTTTTTTAAGGATTATTTATTATAAAACCCGAGAATAACTTGAAGATAGACTTATGATGAATTTTGCAAACGTGAGTTATAACTCATGGATTCTGTGAAAAAATTGAAATTTTTAGTATTGCATGAGAGCTGAGGAAAATGGTGCAAAATCTTTGGATGCGACCATACCATTTATTGGGTCCCAAAAGTATTTTTATGGCTTTTTAAAGTTGAAAATTAAAAAAATTAAAAAAATTAAATAAAAAGGGGGCCCAAAAACTTTTTTTTTTTTAGGTTTCAAAAATCTTGAATGTCTTACTGTAACATCCCACATCATCTAGGGGAGTGGATCCAGTAAGCCTGATATATATATTCTTATCTCTACCTAGCAAACTGATTTTTAATTCTGCTTCTAATTCCATCGGAATTGAGTTACTGGCTAGTGCATCGGAATTTCCTAGGATGGGTGTCCCACTGAAAGTTCTCTTGTGTTTTCCATAAACTCCAAACCATGAGGGCGTCCCCCAATAACAATATCGACTATACGGAGACAGCCCGGGATGGAATCCCGGGCGGGATGTCCAATTTGATATCCCAACTAATGGTTGGGCTGGGTGCCGAAAGGTGGTCCCTAAAGTTGGATTAACCGTATAAAAAACTAACAGTAAACTCTAGAACACAACGCAACAAGATTAGTGCAATCTTACTTGCAGAATACAAAAGATCACTAATTCGTTCCTGCAGAGGCCATGAACACGATGCAAAATGCTATTCTACTCACTGGAGACCTGTATGTCCTTATGGTGATAGTCCCAAAAACGAAGAACCTTTTCTCTGTGAGCAGGGAATCCTTTTTAAATAATGCAAGGTTACCCAACTTCCATCTATCATGGAGGTTGGTTATAGAGCCGTTGCTTTCAGTTCCAGTAGTGGAGGAAGTAGTTCTAGTACGTGCTTCAAAATGCAAAGCATGATGGATGTAACTCCTCAATTATAGGACATGGTTTTACACATATACAAAACCCTAACTGATTTATAATTTCAAACATGTTGACACACCTATATCACTACTAGTTGAGTCCAATTAGGATTCTTACATTCTCCCACTTGGACGTTAACTAGTTGTGGTTTGAAACAACATGTTCATTATAAATCATTCCTTAGTGATCACCGTGAGTTTCACGCAATCCATATCCTATACACATCTACCAGTAACCATTTGAAAATCGAACTCCAGAAAACAATGCATGTATCAATACTGCATGCACCCTGAAATCACGATATTCAAAATCACACTGTATGATGTCAATGACATATGCATATATGTACAATCCATACTTCAGTAATCACTACAATTCTCACACCTTTTCCTTCCACACTCATATGTCCAGTGCACTTTAATCAGGCTTATCTTTAGAGCTTTTCATCCTTAAACACTGGACTTCGAGTTGATTTCTAGCTTCCTGCACAAAACTAACTTATCCAATATGTTCTTTGGAACAATCATTGGCCACATTAATTGCTTTAAATAAGTCTGAATCAATAACCATAATGTCAATTGAATATAAGCTTGAATGAAACAACAAAACACAAACTCGCAGCAACACTAATAAATAGTTATAATTCATGCAGTAGCATGTTTTACTCCCACATTCCTACAGAATCAAAACTATCATGCACACCCATATTTGCTACATGTTCTTTGAACATTCCCACTAATCTCGCATATTGAAACTAATAATAAAGCTTGACGATAGTGGTATGTTTCTAGCAAACTGTATGCAACAACCTTACGTGAAAATGCAATAGCCGTATATATATAGATCCTTATTTGAATAGTCATAATCTCCATCCTTATATTCACAAGTTGATCTCCTGTATCACCGTATAACAGTCTTCCTTATTACTTCAAAATTGAAGTCACAAGTCCAAAACACTTTCACGAAGTAGTACAATTAGCCATTATTCTAACTAGTTGGCCACCAAGTGTATTTATTGCACATATTCTTTTAATCAAACCAGAAAGAACCCCTACGGCGAAAGAGTACAATACATAATAATTTGCAAGATGTAAGGCAAAACAAATATAAAGTTATCACTCCCACTAATTTAATTAATCATAACGTAATTACAGAACAACCCTTTTGATAAAGTTCTGAAATATGCATGCTTTGGGAGCAACCTTACTACGACAATTAGTTAACGCAAAAGCATCTTACCA